AAAAACCTAATAATTGTAAACAACCAAACTGGCTTTGGTAAGACCACAGCAGAAGTATATACGTATGTTTACATATACATGTGTATACATATATAGATATAAAATCAGGCTGTCTGTGTCAAAGTATTTTAAAGCAAATTATAGGCAACACCATATCCTCCTCACATTAAAAACCAAGAGGCTTTAAAACCCAGATAAAAGAAGGAGGTTGGTAGGAAAAACTTAAAGACCTCATTTCACTTTTAGGGATGAGTTTTAAACTCATTTCATTTGAAAGAAGCCTGAATACATTAGACACATAGGGAAAGAATCCCACTATTAGTATAATCACTTGCATCTGTCAAATGTGCCCTGATGTGTAACATGCATTCTTTCACTCCAGAGGACCCCAAAGAAACAAAACTTGAGATGAAATTGCAAAGGAAGGGGAAGGAACACTATCACCTAGTGTTGAATCCCGTCAGAAGAAATGATGCTCTCGAACCAGTCACAGGCCACATGATTACCACCCCATAGGACGGATGCCATGGCGGACAGACACACAAGTGCAAGAGCAGAGTGAAGGAGCACCCACGGCTACTGGGAAGACAGGGCAAGAATCTTGGAGTCACAGTCGAGCTGGGTCTTGCAGGAGAAGTTTGCCTGGGCAAGATGGGGATGTCCACCTTGACTCCCTCACCTGTCAAATGAGGAAGATAGGGTACCTATCTCTCAGAGGAATGAGAATTAAAAGACATGGTGTATTTAAATCCTGGCCTGTGGTATCCATATGCAGGAATCCATCCTATAAAGTCAGGAAGCAGTCTGCCAGAGCTTTGCCCCAAGAGTCAGAGGCCCTGAATCCCAGCCTCATCTCTGGCCCAGCTAGCTGCATGACCCTGGGCTAGTCCCCTCCTCTCTCTGCATCTTAATCCCACACGTTCTAAGAAGTCAAGGAAAAGGTTCTGCTGCCTCCCATTCGGGCCAAGCGAGCTCAAAGGTTGGAAAGGGCATCCAAGAGTTAAGCACTTTGCAAATACGAGGCATTGTTTTCATCACAAAGACAAGATACTTTCCTGAGTCCAAACACACTAGAAGGGAAATTTCAGGGTGTCAGGGTGGGAAGGAGGGGAATCAAAAACCTGTTTTGTAGCAGAGAGTAAGGAAGCCTTCGAGGAGGTCTGGGTCAAGCCTTGGCCTTCAAGTCGCCCCTGCCCTCTTTGGCATGGTGCTCTAGGCTCTTATAAGCGGGCCATGAAAGAACTGAGGCAGCCCTAATCACATCCGTTGGAATCCAACGTTGAATGTAGGGTCTCTCTCCAGTGAAGTTCTGGCATAAGGGTTGCCCATCTCCCTCTCCCAGAAAAAAGAGAGAAAAGTCAGTTCTGGGGCTGAGGTGGCCTCCTCATTCTTTACACAGAGCCAAGAGTCCTGATGAGGGCTCCCCAGCATAGAGAAGGAGTTAGAGGTGGTGCCCTGTGCCACTTAGTCTCTTAATCCTCAACTGAAGCCCAATTTAAGTCTTCAAAGTAGATCTTTGATCAGAAGAAACATATTGTTTAATTGAAAAGACTGCTTTTCAGGAACAGTTGATGTTTCCCCAAGGGGCAGCCATTTTAAAGCATCCTACTAAAGGGAAGAGTCTCTTGGGTTTAAATGTCAGCATCATGAATGCGAGCTCTGGGCTCTGGCAGGTGCCAGGGGCCTGGCTGGCCTCACAGTTCGTTTAAAGTAAAGAGATTCTCGAAAAGAGGAAGCTAAACTAAGTCCCAATAAAGTATCTGAAAAAGAGTACCCGTTAACCTGGCCACTGACAGTGCGTAAGTAACAGACCATCATTTGTTCACAGTATGAGGCCATTACCAATTCTTTACTCATGCAACAGCATTTACTGAACAGCCGCTGTGTGCTGGCTCCAGAGCAGTTACTGAGTCACCAAAGATGAATAAGACGTGGTCCCAGCCCTCAGAGAGTTCAAAGCCTGGTAAGGAAACACAGAGAAGTAGACAGAAGATAACCACCCTTCACTGTGAAGGTTTCCAGGAGTGCATGGGGGCCTGACCATCACAGCCTCGGGGGTGGTGCAGGGACAGACCAGACTGCCGAGAGCAGCACTTCTTCGGCTTCACTGTACACACAAATCTCCCGGAGTTCTTGTTAAATGCAGATTTCTGACTCAGTGGGTCTGAGGTGGGGCCTGAGATTTTGCACTTCTAACAAGCTCCCAGGAGATGCTGAGGATGCTGCTGGTGTACAGACCACGCTGTGAGTAGTAAAGTCTTAGAGGACACTGACAGCTGAGCCAAGTCTTGAAGAATGAGTAGAAGTCAGGCAGGGCAAGCGGAAGTTGGGGGTGGGTGGGGGGCCTCACGGCCCAGGTATAGCTGTGAGGGGCTGGAGGACTCAGAGAAGCACAAGAACTTCAGTTTGGCTTGAGTAGGAAGTGGGAGGAAGGGCTGGAGAGGAAGACAAGGGGAAAGGCGCAGGGGCCTCTGTACATCCAGTTGTGGCATTAGGACTTTATGGAAAAGACAGTGGGAACCATTAAAAAATATTTGAGCTGGAAAGACATATGGTCAGATGGCATTTTTAAAAGATCTCTCAGCCAAAAGTGTAGGAAATGGACCAGCTAGGGTTAAGATGCGCGAGTGGGAGGGAGGCCAATAAGGAGACTATGGCTGCATTATAAACCCAGAAATGGATGGAGTTGGAAGATTTCAGGTAGATACCATCAACAGGTGTCGTTTCTCCACAGCTTCAAATTATCCCTCCCAAAAGTTAATTTGCTTTGATCAATGATTCTTCAGTGCTCTCAACATAATTTCGAAACTCTTCTGTCTGGCTTTCAAAACATGCTTCAATCAGTTTTACCCCATCTCTCCACTGGACCCCCACTGTAACCCAACATGAATGCCCATCAGCCAGCCTCCCACTGACTTCCAGGCCGATGTTCATACTTCCAGGCTCAGCCCCAGCGCCATGCTTAGCTCTAGCTGTTCAACTTGCCTGGAGCATCCGTGCAGCGCCTCTCCACCTGCCCACATTGCACTGTACTTCCAGGTCCAGCAGTAGACGACCTCATTGGCAAAGCTTCCCCAGGCTGCTCCAGCGCCATTGGTCTGTGTAACGTACTTCCTGCTTCATTCTCTTTGTACTCAATCTCAGAACGTCCTATGTTTTTTAATGCCTTTTTAAATTTCTTTTTGCTTTTAATAAAATAGCTCATCTTCCAGAAGTGAACTTATAGCATACATGCATTGATTAAACAAGAATAACAAAAGGAATTCTGTGCATTTTCCTCTTAGGTTCAGAAACAGACATTACTAAGATGTCTGAAGGTCCTGTATTCCCCTCCCTGGTGGCCTTGTGTTTTCTAACCGTGGCCACGCCTAGCAACACAACCCAAAATAAGACCTGAAGAAGAAGACCCTTCTTCTAAATCTTGTGTTTCTTCCACAATTCTTGTCACAATATTTTCTGTAGTAAAAGAAATGGCTGGCATTACACCAGCCATTATGAGTGGGAAAGTGAGAGCGAGTATTTTAAATTAGTTCTGCCTGGAATAATCTAAGACATAGAGTCACTATCCCCTTAGCATTTAGCAGACTACCCACCATGAGACAGGCCCTCAGTGACTATTTATTTAATTGAGTTCTGGCTTTACTTCATTTAGTGGATGTAACATAGATTCTGGTCAATGTCAGACATGAAACTATTGCACCAAGCATGTGGTCTCCAAAGTGGGGCCCAACCCCCTCCCTCACAGAGTGTGCATTTACAGCCATTGGGGTGGAGGAAGATATATTCAAACTTCTGTTTATACTTAGTTTTTTCTCAGTCTTTTAAATATTTTAATTTTGTGTATCTGTCTTGTAATGGATATAACATGCAGTATGTAAGTCTATATGTGGCATGTACTACATAGTAGAACATACTACACGGGAGAGCAGGTGTAGGATGTGGCAAAGCCACACAGTAGTGTACAGTGCTAAGGCACCAGGCTCACACCTAACTAGAATGAACAGCAGGAAAACACAGGGAAAAACCCAAAGTGAGTTCTCCTCTGTAAGCACCTAGGACTCATCCACTCATTATTCATCCGTGCAAAAAAATATTTTATTGATCTCCTCCTGTGTACCATGCTCTGTTTCCCAAACTGCATCAGACAGAAGCAACAAGCAGGCGTGTTTCAGAGGCTGGTCATGCCCTGTCCTGTCCTGCTGCCCATGGGGCTCAGGCTGCTTCATGGCTCAAATAACTGGTGTACAACACTGAGTTGCCCAGAGTGAGCAAATACACATCCAAAAATGCACCCCATGATAAGAGGATGAAGATGAAAGAGGTCAACCAGCCCCAGGCTCCTAATCCTGGCACAAACGTTTGTTCATTATGAACAGCTACAAATATGGCTCTTTTATTCGCACCTGGGCTTCTCCTCCAGCAAAGGAGGGAACTGCTTGCCTGACAGATGCATAAGAAGCTCTTTCCCCTCAAAGGTGCCTCCCCACTGCTCCTAGATGTTTGAAACTGCTCTCAGAAGGAGAAAGTCCTATAGATAAGATAAGGAATATGATTTTAAACACCCTTGCCCTGGAGTAAGGTAACCTATTAAGTTGGCACTAAGTTGCCAGTGACTTGTATCCAATACTCTCTAGACAACGAGTTTTCCTAGAGGGAGAGATGGAAAAGAAGATAACACCAGAGAACTGGCCCATGGCACCTAAGAGTGAAGTGAGAGGGTCTCATGGATGCAAAAGCAGCCTTGGAAAGGAGACACTGGGCCACTGAGCCAGGGCAGGAAGGTTGAACTTGTCAGTATTGCCAAGGGTTATCTTAGGCCCAGCATTTGCCTACTGACCTCAAAAACTTAGTTACTATAGAGAACATTAGCGCTGGAGGGAAGCAGAGAGAGGTCCCAGCCTCCTGACTGCTGGTCCAAATTCTCATCTAAGGAGCCTTCAACAAACCTGGTGACAGAGGTAAATAAACCAACTGAACAAAATGAGATTAAAAACTCTCACCTGCATTCTCCATTTTGAAAAAGTAGCTCAATTCCGTGCTCTAAATGTTTGGAACCACTTAGCTCCATCTCTCCCCTCTGGGTCTTTGATATGACCTTCTTGGCACTTCTCAGAGTGCGGCCAGAGGTGAAGGGGCAGGCATGATTATTCTCGTCCAGATCTCATCCCAGAGGTGAACCTGGGAACAACGCACTGTAGTTTTGCTGGATCAAATAAGACAAAGAAAGAGACTTCACTTACTCTACAGGACTTGAGGTTAAATGTCCTATGACAGTTTGGGGGAAAGATAGAAGAGAGTAATATCTAAATGTACCTCCTCCTTCCCAAGGACGAGAAATTGAAACAGCCAAGTGGCTATATTGAATCCAGGCACAAACACAGTTGACTGAGTTCGTCCACCACTTACAGAGGGGTGATCAGCTCAATAACGTGAGTCTCTGTAAAGATTTTATTTCATTTTAAACAATTCTACTTCAAAATTACTGATATCAAAACTGTTAAATCCAAATGATGAGCTCTGATTTAAACATGTAGAGATACCATTTTAATCCATTGACTTTTGGAAAAAATTTAATCTATATATAATATAGATATAAAATATTCGTTTGCTAGGGCTGCCATAACAAAGTGCCACAGTCTGGGTGGCTTAAAAGACAGAAATTTATTTCCTCACAGTTCTGGAAGCTGAAAGTCTGAGACCAAGGTGTCAGCAGGGTTGGTTTCTTCTGAAACCTCTCTCTCTGGCTTGGCTGTCTTCTCCATCTGTCGTCACATGACCTTCCCTTTGTGTGTCTGTGACCACACCTCCTCTTCTTAGAAGGACACCAGTCCTACTGGGTTAGGGCCCACCCTAATGACCTCTTTACCTCTTTAAAGATGCTAACTCCAAATATAGTCACATTCTGAGGTACTGGGGTTGGGATTTCAACATATGAATTTTAGGGGGACAGAGTTCAGGCTATATACATATTAGATAGGCCTGTGTATAGTGTGCACAGATAACTAAGCATCTTTACCCTAATTGTCACAAAGTTTCCTACAAAACCTGAGTACGATACATGAGGCTGTGCTTCCAAATTCTTGCACATTCTTGATAGGAATAACGAGGGTATGTAGACTATAATCCAGAATTCATCTAAAGGATAAGACACACACATGGCATTAGAATAATTTTCCTCAAAGGAATAGCTACTCTTTAATTCTGAACATTTTAAGACACCTAGAATCACTTTCCCTAAGCAATTAGGATTTTACAAAATGCTATCAAGACCATCGCAAAGTTTCACTGCCCAGACAGAGCCAAATGCCTGGAGCTTGCAGCCATGATTTATTATTTAGTCTGGAGGTGAGTTGCTAAGCAAGATTTATTCGGTAAGAACAGAGCCATCCGTAACAGTACAATATATGTTTGACTGTGAAGGGGATTTTTTTCACCATTCCTCAAGAGAGTTTGTTCTCTATAATCAGAAAAATAGATCTCTATGTAAGTTTTTACCCTTTTGTGAAAATATGCATTTGACAAACCAGTTTGGCTTCAAATGTTCTCATTTGAATTTTAGCCTTGAGAAATTTTCAGTATATTTTCATAATAAAAACAGTTGGAGAACGATATCAAAGTTCTTTGATGGAATCTGTTGGGTGTCTGCTTTACCAATACAGGGCTTTTATTTTCCAGATAGTTGCTTCATTGCACTACAGTGGCCTCCCTCACGCTTTCACACCATCTCGGATTCCTAAGAAAAAGAGCACTAATAATGCACATTTGCCAACTCTGTTTTTCAGAATTGGTAACAAGTACTAGGGGCCAATGGCTGGCCTACTTCCGCCCCCTAGTGATCATAACATATTATGGCTTTTTGCAAAAGGGAGACTAGGGAGCTGGGACCAGTGAAAGTGGCTGCCCCCCTCTCTGGTAAGGTATTCCCCAAGATAGCCACAGCCTCCAGCTGCCCTTTCACCAGGCACAGAAAAACAGAATGATAAACTCATTCACATTAAGGTGGCCAGGACTAAAAACCTTCCTTCTTCCCAGTCTGTATGCATTTTAACAAAAGCACTGAAGCGAGAAGGCAACGCTGCTTAACCCAAAAGAATAAATCACCCATAGTAGAAATTTAGGCTTAAGGAGAAAGATTTTTTTCCTAGGATTTTTTGTTTTGTCGTTGTTATTTTATTTTCTTCTCTTTTTGGAAGAGTGCCTTTGAAGAGCTATCCATTGCCTCAATTTCTTTGATAAATCACTACCCCTGCAGAGGGAAGAAATCAGCAGAGGACTCAGGAAAATGTTCCATTTCCCAGACTTCTCACTTCCATCCTCAGCTGCTCCCACCCCTGTGCCCGGCTGGAAGGTGCAGCTCTGGGGTGGCCACCGTGTCCAACAGGGCAGCTCACCCTGCAGACACGAAGTGGGTGGAAACATGAGTGAGGAATTTTCTGGTCAGACGCCAACCACCCTCCCACAGCTGCTAACAGGACTCCCTGCTGCAGCCCCTCGCAGGTCCAGGAGATTTTCAGGCAGGTAGCCAATCCCCAAGATGGCTTTAGATAAGGGGAGGTAGGGTTGAGCAATGGGAGTTAGACTAGGAGGCAGGCGCCCCAGGGGGAGTTGGAGGGGCCCCAGGCAATGTTTCTGAACTCTGGCTTGGGCTGGTCATTAATCAAGCCCCTCCCATATCTTAGAACTTGGCCTCTCCCCCATCAGGAGTCATGCCAGAGGGTCGTCCCTATCACCAGTCCCAAGTCCAATCTAGACAGAACCATGAAGAAAATGGAAAGAATGCACAAGAGAGTGAGGGCTGCTTCGTGTTGCTGGTATAATTTGCTGAGAAGCAGAAGCCCACTGCAGCCTCCAATCCACCTTCACCAACTCCCACAGACACAGGGTGCACCGAGGCAGGAGCTGGTGGCTCAGAGTCAAAGGGCTGATTTCAGTGCCGAGTTTCAACTGCCTGTAGTAGTGGGACGTGGATAGAATCTGGCGTCAGGCAGATCTGAGTTTGAATCCCAGCTCTGCCACTGGCTAACTTTGCAACTTTTGACAGCTGCAACTCCACCCTTTAGCTGTCAGCTCAAAGGTTACAACCTCAGGGACACCCTCTCTAACCCTACAAACTAGATCTGCTCCCCTGTTTATGAATCTCATAATCTTTATAATTTTTATTGATAACACATATCACCATTTGTAGTTTTATAATTTATATGTGGGATGATTTGTCTAATTTCTTTTTTCCCTACTGCATTCTAAGCTCAGAGAGGGTAGAGACCACATCTCTTTCAGTCACTGCCTTATCCCAGGGACTAGAAAATGGAACATACAATAAAGACTTGAGAAATGCATGAATTACACTGAGTCTTTATCATCTACAAAATGGGATGATAGTACCTTCCTCACAGGTTTAGTATGAGGATTAAATGAAACAGTACATTTGTGAGAATTCTTCCCCATGTCTGACACAGAGTAGGTGCTCAAAAAGGGGTTGTTCCTTTGCCACCATCACTTTGGGGACCCCCTCCATCAGTGGACGGTTGTCCCTGACCACCAGAGGTGCCACTGAGCAGTGAAATTAGCCAAAAGAGGAAACCAGAGATTTGAAGAATCCACAAACTCCATCACGAGTCCCTGAGCAATCAAAACTGGTTGGCACATTACAATTCATCGCCTCTTCTCCCGAGGAGTCCCTTGATGGCAGGAAAAGTTATCTCCAGCTTCACTCTCCTCTCCATCCCAGATAGAGAGTAGCCAGAGGGACTGTAAATCCATTCCTAACATTTCCAGTTGTTTGAGTTATGTTCCACCAGAATTAAGAAGGTGACTTTAAAAACATGAAGGAGAAATAAAGGTTGCACTTCCCAGAGCAGAGTACAGGTGTAAAATGAAACTGAACTTTTACTATGAAACTGCTCCAGAGGAGAAAGGATTGAGAATATTTTTATAGAATATTTGCATTATGGGTAATTTTTTTAAATCCAGGGTTCAACTTGCATGACACAGAGGCATAAGTCTACCACTTAATGACATTTATAACTCTGTAACAATCCGTTTTGTATAAATTACGGCTGAGGTTTATTTCTGATTATGATATATAGAATAAAGTGATGTCATAAAGACAAAGTTTGTAAGTTACAATCTGTCCTGTTGCTTTAAATAAGAGGATTTCTGGAGACAATTGCCTTGATGAATATAAACTCAAATGAACCTTGAATCTCTTCAATTATTCTTATTTAGAATTCATTTTCCTTTGAACTTTCATTTAACTCAAAGCACAATCGTTCCATTATAAATCAAACACGAGCTTGTCTTCCCTGCAATAACAAGTATGCTTTAAATAATGAAGAAACACCTATGGTCATAAAAGATAATGTTTCAATGCACCAAAATAGAAAAGGTAAAGAGATTTATTATCTTAGCTCAGTAATGATGAGTTAAATATTTTTCTAACAACAGACATCTCTATTCCAGACAACACTTTTTATTTGACTTTTTAGTGTATTTCCTTTCCCAGAAGACTGGAGTGCCTTATTATCAATGAGAGAAACCCAAGATTCAATACACAATGCTGTTGGTGGCAGAAAAGCTCAGATCTCTTCTTGCTCGGTCTTCCTAGTAGGCTAATGAGTACAAATATCTCTCAACCTCCCTGGGCCTCTTTTCCACTGTGAAAGGGCTGGGCTGAATCATCCTAAACCCATTTCAAGCTCTAAAGATGAAGACTCTATATGCCTTTCCTTTTGCACAGAATTATGGTGAGGAACAACTAAGTTAATGGATGTGAATATGCTTTAAAAGGCATAAAAGTGTTATACACAGCACTTGACGGCTTTCACTCTGCATTTTGTAAATACCTTTATACATCCATTATGTGAACTATGCTATCCAAAATAACACAAAAAAAACTCTGGAGCATCTCCAGGCTATTACAGATGAAACAGCATGATAAAGAGGATCTTCTGGAGTTCCCGTGATAAATTCTCTTGGACAGAATCAAAATCCCACATTATAACAGGTCAAGTAGCCAAACTACCCCAAACAAGAGCCCCCTTCCCCACTGGAAATTTTGCCAGCAGACAGGACACAGAAGGAAGCAGGTAGGCTGGGAGGTTGCAAAGCTCTCTTCCTGTTATCTCTTTATGCTTTCCGTCTTCAAAGCGCTGTGACCTGTCTTCAGTACACCCTCGGGTGTAGGATTTACATTTTTAATATTGG